GGTAGGGTAGGGTAGGGTAGGAATAAGAATAGGAATAGGAATAGGAATAGGAATAGGAATAGGATAGGATAGGATAGGATAGGATAGAATAGAATAGAATATAGAGTGGAGTGGAGTGGAATGGAATGGAATGGGAGTTGGAAGGGACCCTGGAGGTCTTCTATTCCAGTGGCTCCCAACCTTTTTTGAACCAGGGACCGGTTTCACGATTATGTCTTCTTCCACGGACCGGTACCTGAGCAACGCGAGACTCTACCGCCATCGGGACGGCTCTTTGTTCGAAGCCGCCACCCCCCTTCGACGAAACTAAGGAGCGAGCACCCAAACGCCGCTTTCCAATCAAAAACCGGGAAGCAACCGAAAATCCAGAAGCGCCGTCAAAACAAGATGGCGGTGCCCAAGCTTTGCGGCCTGGTAAAAAATGATTCCCGGACCGGTACCAGTCCGGGGACCGGTGGTTGGGGACCCCTGTTCTATTCCACTCTCCTGCACAAGCAGGAAACGCTGTACCATTTCATACAAGTGGTTGTCCAAGCTCTTCTTAAAAGCCTCCCTAGATGGAGAACCCAGAACTTCTGGAGTCAAGTTGTTCCACTGGTCAATTGTTCTGACTGTCGGGAAATTTCTCCTTATTTCCCGCTTGCTTCTCTCCTTCGTGAGTTCCCATGCGTTGCTTCTGGTCCTGCCTTCAGGGCCTTTGGAGAAGAGGTTGACCCTATCCTCTTCTTTACAGTAACCCTTCGACTATTGGAAGGTTGCTCTCACATCACCCCTAGTCCTTCTCTTCCCTAGACTAGACATACCCAATTCCCGCAAGCGTTCTTCCTATGTTTTAGCCTCCAGTCCCCTAAATCCTCTTGGTTGTTCTTCTCTGCCCTCTTTCTAGAGTCTCAACATCTTTGTTATAGCATGGTGACCAAAACTGGATGCAGTACTCTAGGTGTGGTCTTACTAAGGCTTTATAAAATGGTATTAGTACTTCCCTTGATCTCAATTGTATCAATGCAATTTTTCTGTGGGATGTTTTTGAGCTGTGACTGGGCTTTTTTCTCTCTCTCTCCCTCTCTCTCTATCCAGCATCTCGCTTCCCCCATCGCTGTTTCTAACCTTCCCTGGATCTCAGCACACACAGGATAAAGGTTGGTCACACAGAGACATGAAAAATTAGCCACACACACACACACACACACACAAAGCTTGTCATATATTCTTATTTAATCACCCTAATTGCTCAAAGCAAATCCCGCTAACTCGTGGGGTGAAAAAGGGAAATTAACTTGGGGTCAAAATTATTAGCGCTTCCAAGAAAGCAACCCGAACGCGAAGACGCAAATCCTTGTTTTTTTAATCTCAAATGCAACACCAAAAATTGGGGTGCTGAGGGAAACACACACTCACTCACACACACACACACACACACACACACGCACACACACGTTCTGACCCAAAGCTTGTTCCAATGGAACAAACACCAAACGGAGGTAACAGCAAAACCTTTTAATGATTCTTTACTAATTCCTTTCCTTCCCGGTTAAAAGGCTGTTTCAAACTCATTGTCTCTGATAAGAAGGAGCCTTGCCAAGGTGGTGCAAGGCTGCCAAGGACACTAGATAAACTTGCCAAGAAATAGTTCAAACAAAAAAGAATCACCAAACGCAAACTAAGAGAGACTGAACGTCCACGAGGCTCGAGCGCAAGAACTTCTTTGCTTCCTGCAAAGGACTCCGGTTTCTCAGCTGGCTTTTATCTTCTCACGGAGGGGCCGCTACCTTGCAGCTTTACTCCCGAGTTGCCCGTGCTGCTGTAGTTGCTCTTTCCTACGCGTGCTGGGCACGGGCTCCTCGGGGGCCTCTTCCTCACTGCTGCCAGCCTCCACAACCTCCAAAGGCAGCACCCACTCCCTGATGGTCCTGGCCCCCTCCCTGCCTCCCATGCAGGCCCCTCCTCCGAGTCCTCGCTCTCCGAGACCTCGGTCATCCTCACCTTTTTATCGGGTTGGCTTTGATCCCAAACCGAAGCCTAAAAAGTACCCAACATCCAAACTTCCAAACTCTAGATCAGGGGTGTCAAACTCAAGGCCTGGGGGGGGGGGTCAGATCCGGCCCATGGGGTGCTTTGATCTAGTGTGTGGGGCTGGAAAGAGCGAAGGACCGGCTCACAGTGCCTCGGTCTGGCCCTCCCAAGCTCTCTGTTTGCAGAGTTGGCAGAGTTGCTAGCAAAACAAACTGGTAGCAAAAAGGGGCACTGGATCCCAAGGCAAGGAGGCACCGAGAAATGTTTCCCCTTTTGCTTTTGAGCACCCAAGAAGGGACAGGAAAGGGGAAAGGGAAGAGGGGAAAGACAAAGGAAAGGAAGGAAAGAGGGGGAGAGAGAGCAAAGAAGGAAAAAGGGAAGGAAGAAGGGAGGAAAATGAAGAGGGAAGGAAAAAGTAAAGGGAAGGAAGGAAGGAAGGAAGGAAGGAAGGAAGGAAGGAAGGAAGGAAGGAAGGAAGGAAGGAAGGAAGGAAGGAGAGGGAGGGAGGGAGGGAGGGAGGGAGGGAAGGAAGGAAGGAAAGGAAGGAGAGGGAGGGAGGGAAGGAAGGAAGGAAGGAAGGAGAGGGAGGGAGGGAGGGAGGGAGGGAAGGAAGGAAGGAAGGAGAGGGAGGGAGGGAGAGAAGGAAGGAAGGAAGGAAGGAAGGAAGGAAGGAAGGAGGGAGGGAGGGAGGGAGATTATAATGAGAGGGAGGGTCTGAAGGAAGTCCTGCCTCAGCACCAGCAGCCCTGCTTTCACCATCCCTTCGTCTCCTCCTGCTGACCTCTCCTGGTGGTCTCCCATCCTATCGCTGAGGATGGTTTGGTTACAAAGCCAGGCTTCCTCGTGTGGCGTGGTGAATGGGCCTCCCTCTCTCTCCTCCCACGGTCACGAAGTCTGAAAACCAATCC